CCCGGTGCGGAGCCCGCCGCCGAACTCCGCCTTCCCCCGAGCGCCGCTGCCCGCGCCGCGCCGCTGCCGCCTTTCCCTAGGCGAGGGGGTTCGTTTAGTATTCCGGCTCCGGATTTCTGTCTAAATAACGCGAACTCCCGCCCTCCCCGGGGCCGGTACCGGCGGCGAAACCGTCGCCCGACCCGTAAAGGGAAAGCGGACTGGGAGCCCAGAAAACATTGTTTCCCTCATTTCAAAGGAGGGAAACCTGAACGATTCTCATCCTTTTGATTGATTAAGGTCTTGAATAACTTGAAGCTCGGGAGTGACAGTTACTGAATAGACTATTGCAAATAAAGAGCACTGTGGAAAGCTGGGCTGGCACTTCTGAGTGTAAAGGAGGCGAGTTTGCTGGCACTTACCAAGTTATAAATAAAAGGCCATGCACAATAGTACCTTCTTTAAGGACAGACAGTCTTTACAACACTCCTGGCGTCATATCCTGCTGTGGTCACTTCAGCTCCTAGGCAGACTTTACCTCTTTTATTTTTCCAGCAGTTTAGTTTGAATACTACAATAAATTCCTGGGAACAAACGCTTGCTAGTAAGACTTTAACGCGCACCGCCGCGCACCCGTACAGACCCGCATATGCACACCCACGCACACGCAAGCAATGCGGGGACACACTCGTGCCATCGGTTTTTAAAAGCAGAAATCCCCACGGAGATCGCAGGGGCAGCTCTCGCTTTCAGAACCGTTAGCACGATTTGGCCCAGAGACGTTTCTTCTGGGCGGCGAGAGATTTCGCTGCAAAATAAATAAATAGAAAGAAGGAAAAAGCTTTTTTCCTTAAAACAAAAAAATTATAAAAAAGTAAAAAACCAAGGGAGGCTGCTCCCCCGGTACCCCCCGCCACTCGTGCTCGGAGGAGCGGAGCCAGGAGACAAAGCGCTCCGTGGGCAGCGAGGCAGGGAATGCCCTTCGTGCCCGGCGGGTCAGGGCTGCGGTCCCGCGGGGCCCCGCAGGGACACGGATCC